TACGTTGAAATGTTGAACCCAGGGAAGTCATAGAAAGGCTTAGCGTTAAGAAGTAATGAGGTGTTCGTAAGATTGCTATGTGTCTCTGTTGCAGATCACAGTACGCAGTCATTTCTTTACCCTAGTTGAGAATAAAAAAACTTTTTATGCCTTCATTAAAACTGTGCAGTATATTTAGTTATATTAGTCGCAAATTATGTCGACCGACGAAGAGTATTATATGGCGAAAGGAGTGTAATAAGCAAAATTTAGCGAATAATATGAGCCCTTCGCTGAGATTATAACCCAGACGTTTAAATTCCACACATCATAGGTGAACAAGTCTCTATCGAAAAGTTATGTGAATGGTCAAATTGGGTGATCGAAGAATTTTATTTACAGTATTAAAATGTCGCTTTTCCAATTTCACATATTTCTGCGTTTTCAATTACATTCTTTCTTTTTCCTTCAGAATTTGTTCCATTTTTTCAAACAATACTTTTAATGTTGTTAGTTAACTGCCCTTCTCTTTGTGCAATTCCTGACTAAACTTATCGTCATATTTATTCACAATCAATTCTGGAGTTACATGCTGTAGATGGTGAGTAATATAATTTTATGTTGTAGTAATAATGTAGCAACAATATACCGGGTTGTCGGACAAGCTTATCGCCACCCCTGAACCCTCCGAATAAACTTTTCACTAAGTTTGCTGAGTTACGTTAAGGGAAATGCTTGCGGCAAACTGTAACCATGCATAAGCTGTTTGACATAGTCTACATCAGTTTCATTACTTTAGCATGTTCTCACTCAAAACAAACAGCGTACATTATACTGTTAATCCCTATTCTCGGCGTGCGGGAAAGGGCAATTCTAAGTAAAATTGTAGTTTTTGTAAGATTTTCAAGGATATGGTTGTAAATACGCTTGGAGACCTATATGCATTTATAAGTATCTACACAAGGGCTTTTCAACAGCATCTATTCCTCAATAAACAGTTCCCATTCCGCACAGATGACCAGAAATGTGTGCCTGTAACTTGTTACCCACTTCGGTATACGTGCTTTAACGTCTTATCTTCAGTGTTCTTACGGCAATCAGCCAGTCGCAGATGAACCTGCAGTTCCTCGTTTACTTCCACTTAGTTCGATAGGTTTAGACGTGGTTACTACAAGGATCCTGCTCATTCGATGAGAAAGTAGATATGAAACCGTTGAAACCTTTTGAGCGAGTCCTCCACATGTTATACCATCATGGGACTTGAATTCTATCAGAAGTATCTGAAGCAAATTTATCGGCGAGTTAGAATTGGTAGGAGCATTCCTGATAACTTGTTGTGAGGAGATTATGCCGAGGAGCAAACCGCAAGGAAATGGGAAGTATGACGCCGCTAACTTCTGCAAAAAAAAATTCTAAATATAGATCTGTCGTGAGGATATTCGGTCGCAAAGCGTTGCGTCGTCATAACTTCTTTCAATACAATACCGCTCATAACTTCTGCAAAAAAAAAACGTG